AAACAATGCAATAAATAGTTTTGAAGAAAAATCTGCTTTGTCATTGAACCTGAGAAAAACTGAGAAAATAACCATAATGACGCAGTCTCCATGCTACAATAATAATGATAGAAGCAAAGTTTTTCATTGTGGGGACATATCTTTATAAGTACAATTTGACTGTATTAATTTGTGTCCCCTTCAAAAATTGCTCATGAGAAATTTTATATTTATTGTCCCCCCCTACTGTTAAATGAAATTTACCCCCATGAGTAAGTCACGATGTTGGTGTTGCCACAAGGGCTAGTCATTTAAGCGCGAATGAGAACCGTTTCGCAGGGATCGATGTCACGTGTTATTTTTTTTTTTCCCCCCGAATATTCGAATCTCAAAATGAAAACTCGAATGTCATCCCTCCAAACGAATATTCGAATATTCTGGTCCAGCCCTACTCCAAAAGAGCTCTAAAAGCTGAAATCACTAACCTGCAGGATAGTAAGGATCCTATAATTGAAAATGAAATTGATATAGTTAATGAGTTTATTGTTTTGGATGGGTATTCACAGTAGAGGATGTAACATACCGACTCTTATTACTCTGGTGATTATTGTGTATGCGCCATACAATCTCATAGAAAATGACTATTTAGCAGCTACAAGGACATAAGAAATTAAAAAGCTCTCCATTCTGATGCTAATTTAATAAACATGAATAGACAAATAGACAGCACTTATGCTACGTTCACACTGCGAGCGGCGAGAGCGTCAAAGCGACCGGAAGTCATTCATTCTCTGTGGGAGGGAGCGTCGGGAGGCGTCGAGGAGCGGCGCGGCGCGATCTGGGCGGCGGGAGCGTCAGACAGAAGTTGAATCCCAGTCAACTTTATGGTAATGAGTTGTGACGCGGTTGGGCGGCAACCAATGGGAATGTAGAGATGCTCCGCTAAAGAGAGCGCCGCAGAACATAAGCGTGTAAACTTTTGTTCCGACCCAACCGTTCCTAGGCACAATGGAGGAGAGACTTATTATTGCTGTGGCCGGGTACCCAGTTATTTATGATGTGTCTCTGTTTGCATACAGGGACATAAATTAAAAAAAAAATGAGGCATGGACCAGAGTGTCTGAAACAATCGGTGTTCCAGGTGAGATGGTGAAGTGCATAATATATTTTTTTGTGAAAAAGTAGTAATTTTGGCGCCAAAGTAAAGATCAGTAGTAATTTTGGCGCCATACAGAGAAAACAGTGCAAATTGTCGGTAATGTTAAACCTATTTATAGCATTAGTGTTTGTCAAAACATAATTATGTGTTTTAGTAGAACTGTCGTGAAACATTTTAAGTACTATTTATGTTAACTAAAGTAACATAAAGCACAAGCAACTACTTGGCGATCATCCATTGTGATCCAAGGTAAATTTGAAAAGAAGCGCTACACTATTTATAGGTAACATTTTCCCTCCAGAATGCTTGATTTTAAATGAGAATGCAAATAACTGGCTCACAAAAATATTTATTTGACAAATTATGTCCTACCAGGAGTCGGTGCAAAGATATAAGCTACACGTTTGTTTGTTTTGCGGCCCCTTTAAAAAGTTCTCAGAGCCTGGCAATCTGAGCCGCCTTGTCCCCGCCCACTCTATGACATCAGAGAGCGTCTCCGGCGTTGGCTAGCGTCGCGTTCAGAGCGGCGGGAGCGACGGCTGGCGTCTTTGACGCTCGCGGTGTGAACGTAGTATTAGGGTGGTTTTGCCTACTCTGGCAATCCATCATCCAGAATAGCGCCTAGGGATTTTCACTTCAGGCGCTCGTACTCAGTGCTAGCACCGCTGTGGTATGCCACTGAAACTTTGCACAGTGTAAAACCTCCTTTTTGTTTGGTGATAATTTGAACTACTCCCATAGTTACATAGTGATATTAAATGAAAACATTTGTTATAGTGAATTGAAGCATTTTACAAATCATAAACGTAATTAAAAAAATTTTTTAAAAAAGATGCATCGATTTTGACCCATTTTCAGCATAGACGTCATCGACTATGTCGACTAATTGTGGCAGCCATTATTCTTACTAGTCAAAATGTAATTACACATCTAGAATAGTTCTAATAGTAAAATTTGAATTATAGAGCTCTACTATATGAAGTTTTACTAGTAAAAATTGAATTTAAGATATAACACTATACTAGGAAAAAATACTATGGAAGTCAATGGGAATATATGAGTGGCAAAATTTAAATTATGGAGCTCTTTAATATAAATTTTTATTAGTAAAAACTATATTCTTACTAGTAATAATTGCACTGTATTGCATAACATTGAATATGTGATATCCACTACAAATTAATTAAAGCTAGAACGGCACGCCTAACGCTTCTCGAGCGTGGTAAAGTTGGTTTTATATTCCATATTCGTTTGATATTCGGATTTGCCCCCCCCTATATCTTTGAAACGACACCACCAAAAATCACAAAAGTCACACTCTCTGTTACAGAAGAAAATGCAGATTGTACTACAACATTGTATAGTGAGTGATATGTTCATTAAAATTGTAGTGACGAGGCATTTTCTGCGAAACTAATAAGCCAGCGTTGGAAGCGCAGCTTTTTGCTAGGGACCGTCTACAAAGTGCAAAGTGCATTCTGGAGAAGCAAGCATTATTCCACCTGTAGTAAGTCAGGGGGCACCTCTGGCAACTACTACAACCTTTGAAATGGGAGAAATCCATTCGTGTGGTTTACAGTAATTTTCCAAAAAACATATTGAATTACTGTAAACTCGTGGTTGGATATTTCTGTAAAATTCCACCAGTAATAAGTCAGGGAGCACCTCTGAAAACCACTACAACCTCTGAAGTGGGAGAAATTGGTTTAGTATGAATTTGAAATTGTTGCAATTTATTGCAATTTCACAGACGTTTGTATTAAAAAAATCTTAGCAGAAAAGCTCCAGTAGCAATGCATGTTTCTCTAGAATGCACTTTGTAGACGGTACCTAGCTTCAAACGCTGGCTTTTTAGTTTCGCAGAAAATGCCTCGCCACTACAATAATTAATGAACATATCACTCACTATGCAATGTTATAGTACAATCTGCAATCTGAAACAGAGAGTGTGACTTTTGTGATTTTTGGTGATGTCGTTTCAAAGATATAGGGGAGGCAAATCCGAATATCAAACATGAAACCAACTTTACCACGCTCTTTTAGCGTGTTTGTCGGGTAGGAAAAAAGGCAAACACCTGTAACAGTGTTGGACAGTGTTTAGTGATCTGCAATTAGAATCTTAAGTGAATGTAGTGTAATGGTATAAAAGAAGAAAATCTTACCTTGTCTAAGTTGATAATCTGCCATTCTGGGTATTTCTCTACAAGTGCAACAACCACGTGTGAGCCACTACGTAAAACATACAAAGGCAAACAGTAAAATTAGTATTCAAACTGTAACCACTACTGAAGACAGTCCTCTGTGTTCCAAAACAAAATAAACAATCATCAGAGCATTAGCTGCTAAAGTGTGCTATTCCTGTACTTACATAAAACCAGCACCTCCAGTTACAAGGACACATTTACTAAAGTGCCTTTTCGCATTTGAAGCGCTTGAGTTCACAAACATCCCTGCCGGTCTGTTTATCTGATCAAGAAAAAAATAACGGGAATTTCAGCCATACAATTAAAAGCACGATAAATCCGTGCTTGTCCTATCATCCCCGTAGGGAGACGGGTGGTTGCCGTGTCAGTTTTCTATACTTATTTAACCACACTTCCGAGAACAGAGTCCAACTGCTTTGAAACTGAATCAATTAGCATCAGTACCAACGATTTGTAGGCGACGTGGCAAATCCCTCACGAAAAATGCATTTCTAGTCGGCTTACGTGACTGAAACTCCTATTTCACCAAAATAAAGAAAGGCCAAATTAATGCTGAGATATTTCAAACATCCCAACTGAACAAGACGTAGTCTAAGCTTTCCCAGCGCTTATTTAAGTCGTCGTCACAACACAAAACCATTTACGGCAAATGACAAAGTAAATACTCGCAGTACCGAAAATAGTACTTTGAATTAAATCCACGTATAAGATTCGACATTTATTTTTGAGTACGTTTACATGATCGCGCTGACTTAGTTATTTCGAACACACAGGTAACCAGAAGAATATATTAGCTTTGCGACAATAACGATCTGTTAACGATAGCGCTGACACGTATCAGCTCGAGCTCTGAGTTGGCCACTTTAGCTCCGGTTCCCCTTTGATGTTATTGGTCCCTTCTTTTGACAGATGGCGAAAGTCGGTGGACGATTGGACGATTCGTCGGTCAATCACGTTCTCCTGACAGTTGGAAACTGCGCGTATATAATCCATTCATTGACTGTTATGGTTAAGAAGTGTCCATATGCCAAAGTAGTTATGTGCACAATTAATACCAAGTATCTGTTATTTGTGGCTGCGGCCGCTTTATGTTTACATGCAATTCCTCCGGCGCACGGGAAAACCGTATCGGGCATCCTCAGGAGCGACGCTGCAAAAGAAAACAATGGGCAATACATAACAAGATTTCTGTTTCACGGTAGGTGCGTCCGACACAGCTCAGTCACACTCCTAGATTGGATACATCTGGATTAAATCACTTATCCTCAATTGAGGGCGTGCGCAGGACGCATTACGTACTATCGGTTGACAGTGTCTGTGCCCCTGTACTAAACACGCCGGCGATCGAAAAACACGTACGGAGAGCCAGATTATACGCATCAGCCCTGTTCACGAGCTATCGGTACTTGCACCCGACGGGAATGGCTACGTTTTTGTGGTCATTACTCAGAGCAGGAATAACTCGACTATTTGCTTCTGTTCCCGTTAAACGCAGATGTGCGTACTTGATGTCTTCACTGTGATTGCAGTTATCAGATTTATTTTATTTGAGTGAATACTTTGTTTTGTGCACTAGATTTTTTTTATATTTCGGAAACATCCCAGTCTTGACATTTTTTCTTCCTTTTGATAATGATTTAATGCATTGATGTTTTCATGCAGAGTAGTAAAAAATCTTAACGGAGCTGCTGACATTTCGTTGAGAATAGCCGCACTTGTAACTTCAGCAAATAACCCCCATATTAAACTTTCCTTTTGCCTTCAAAGCAGTTGAATTTTAGATGTTGAATCTAAAGGTCAAAATCACATATATCTTGCGAAGGTGACATCCATCCATCTTCAGAATCAGAATCAGAAAACTTTATTGATCCTGGAGAAAATTGCTTCATGTTACTACTGGACGGTCACACAGAAACACAAGACAAGAAAAAAAAAATCAGATATAAGTATGAGAACTGAAATAAAATTATAAAAGAGAGACTCTGCGCTATACACAGAAATATGATATATATAAATAGAATAAATCTTCTGTAGCTGCTTGTCCTTTTGAGGGTTGTGGGGTTCCAGAGCATATCCTGCAAGCTTTGGGTGCAAGGCAGGGAATTGCCCAGGATGGGGTGCCAACCCATCACAGTGCACACATACCATTCACACCTATGGACAATTTGGCAACTCCAGTTCACCTTAGCATGTTTTTCAACTGATGGGGGCAATCCAAATTCCATATACATACAGCCAGGGCACAGATTTAAATGCCAGTCCTAAAGGTGTGAGGCAACAGTGCTAACCACTGTGCCACCACACCACCCCACAGTGGTGATATAATTGCACAATGTTAATCAAGCTTACCTCAGCACTTCATCAATAGGCAGCAGGATTCTCCATAATCCCTGGCATCCTGAAAAGTGCTGAGATCTATAGCGCCATGGATGTTCTATCCAAATATATGTACAGTTAGGATGATTACATTTTATTTATACTCGCTATTGCAATTTGGTTTGGCCAGTCTTACAATGAAGGTCCCAAGTAAAATTAAAATGTGTCATTTGCCTGGTGGATAAGCTTGTGCCCTGTGCTGCTTTTTATACACAAGGTGGCAGTAGAGTGTGAAGTAACTCTCTGAGCAAATACAAGTACTTGCTGTGCAATCAGAAGCACATTTCCATGGTCAAGAGGCCTCTGGGCTGTTTTCTACAGTGGAGGAGGGTGAGAGGGATGATAAAAGTTGTCAATAGGGGTGATTTATTTGAGGTCCCTCTTTAATGGTGGTCCCTGGGCTTCACTGGCAGTGATGGACTGGTACTCCGTCGAGGGTGTACTCCTGCCTTGTGCCTTGTGCCTTGTGCGGTCCACAGTGAGTTTCAAGCCACCCACCATTAATCAAACGGTCTTTCTGATTACAAGCATATTGCTGTTACCTTTCCCTGAATCCCACAGGGGAGAATGCTCTCGTGGTCTGCAGACTGGAGGAGGCTGACTTCGCCATGGCTGTGAGGAAGGAGGCCCGGCTGCTGCTCTTCCAGGAGCAGGAGGGGTTTGAGAACCTCAGCTGCCTAGAGCGCTTGTCTGGAGCTCCTGTTGCCAGTGAGCCTCATCGTTGATGGCTGCTTTGAAGCATGACCCACCATGTGTGGGATTAGACTGCATTTGGCTTCTGGTGCAGGGCTCCAGACTAACTTTTTGTATCGGTTGCACTGCTATGCCTAACTATTTTATTTAGGTGCACCGCCACAAAATTTAGGTGCACACAAATTTGTCTCAATGCCTTTAGCTTCACAATAATACATTTTAATTATTACTTTTTTGTCATTTTCCATACACATTAATAGTTTCATAAATAGTTGTAAACAGGAATAAAGGTGCAGGTCAATGTTTGTCTTTATATGAATCACAGCACAAACAAAAAAATGCAAAACAACAACAAACAAAATTTACAAGTGCTGTTTAAAGTGCTTGACAAACTGAAATTTTCAAAACTCACCTGACTGAGATACATATAGATACTCCTAGATACTTATAGAAAAAGTTTTGGTTTGCTGCTGCCTGCCACTGAAATTCTGCGTGGAGGGGGGTCACCCTGGTGGTTACACACTTGTTATGACACAGGATGTGTTTCTTAGACCAGTGTTTCTGAAACTGTACATTTACAAATGTTTGAAGGTGTTTTATATTATTAAAAAATCACTTACATTTAGCTATGCAGTATAGCTGACATATTTTATTAGATTTTTAATGTATATTGGTAGTATAACTGACATGTTTTATTAGATTTTTAGTGTATATTTAGCTCAATGCATCAGCAAGTATTAATAAAATAGGCCTACATCAACGAGTGTTTAAAAAGAAGTGGGTTTGTAATATTTAAAATCATATGCATTTAGCTTGATAATGTAACCAACATGTATTAGACTGATGTAGCCTATATTTATCTCGGCAACAAATGTTTACATCAATAAAATAGAGAACAATCATGAAAGTTTTTAAAAAGGTTAATATAAATTTTATTGCAATTTTCATTAATAATCTAATAAAACATGTTCATTATACTATCAAGCTAAATGTAAATAATTTTATAATTAATATAAACATACCTTGTTAAAACATTTGTAAACATATGGTTTCAGAAACACTGGTCTAATGTGGTGCCTTTGATTGGTTCAAACCTGTGAAATGTTAGGCACACCAGTACGACCAAGAAAAAAATTTAATCACACACAACAGATTTTTGGTCACGTGCATCCAAATTGGTTGCACTCTGGAGTCCTGTTGTGGACAGGCAGTGACTGGTCAAGAAATCAGGCGGTCCTGAAATCAGAATAAACATAGAAAATAAACATTTTTAAGGCACGGTCACGTGGAGTAGCTTCGTTTGATTTCTGCTGATTTATAGGTAGCTCTTTGTATCCATTTATTTAACATCTGTGTTTTGTTGCACGCATTTATATGAGGAAGTTCTTTTTATTTTGGCATCTCTCACAATCATCACCCTTTCCAGTCACGCTGAACGCAGTGGAGCTCAACTGGACCATGCCCAAGATGTCTTCGCCCCAGCTCTGGCACATGGTTTATGCGGACCAGAGCACCTGCCAGGAGGGAGAGGCTGGCGGGGACCTGGAGGAGATCCGATTCCAGGCCATGCTTTTTAACCCTGACAATGCTGGCAACCCCTTGGATCACTTCAGCGCTGAAGAGGCGGGTGAGTCTTCCTATGTGCTCAGTTCCTGGTTTAGCTTAGCCGCCCTCTCCTGGGATGGCTGAGATGCCCTGTCCAGGTATAATTTTTTACTACTCTACTTAAGTGTCAGTAGTAATCTAAAGGCAGTTTGGTTGTTATTCCTGTGGGTTCTCCTTTACCTCTTTTGCACTAGTGCCATGGTGATGCTGACATGGGAGCTGGTTCTCAGGTGGTGCTGAAGTGGCACAACCTGAGAACCAGCCCAAATTTCCACTAGTTAAAAACAACATTTATAACACATGGTGAGTAAGCACACAACAACAGGCATGTAACATTCTTGAGCTTGTTATAAGCTCTGGTTCTTAAGTTAACATTAATTGAAACATTCTTTTTTTTTACGAGACATTAGCTAGCTACATTACAAAGCACTACTAATTAATATTTATAACTATTTGATGCATTTTTGCTGTTTTGATTTTGGAATTGTACAGAAGACAAGCGTAACCTGTTGACTGGACATATCCATGAACAAACCATTGGTGGGGCCCCTGGATTCAATCCGGTGCAGTTCATTGAAAAACTTATTTTGACTACACGTCACAGGCATCAGCATCGGCTTTCTGGGTTCTTCCAAAAGCATGCAGTTAGCTGAATCTTGGGTTAGCCTCCAGATTCCTGGAGATAAGACAGATGGGCAGACTGCTGAGGATATTGAGGTCTGTAACTCCCAAGTCAGCCTGTTGTCCTGCCTTGTGTGACTGTGACCCCTGATCTCTCCCCCGACCTGCCAGGCCTACACAGTTTCTACTTCTTGCTGGTCCTCACCTACTTTGTGGCAGTCTGCATCTGCGCCCAGCCTTTGTGGCAGGCATTGCACAAGGGTGGGCCCATGCACACCGTGCTGAAGGTCCTATCAGCTGCTCTCCTGCTGCAGGTTGGCTCTGCCCTACTGAACTACATCCACATGGCCAGGTGAGGCTCTACTACTAAAAGCTCTGTCTACAACTGTGCTTCCCACTGGATGCAACATCACACCTTCCTTTTGAAGTACAAATGCTCCTCAACTTGTAAACGAGATATGTTCCGAACGGCCGTTCGTAACTTGAAATGTCCGTGAGTCGTTATTCAACATCATTTTCAGGGTATACGCAAGTACAGAGAACTAGGATGCTAGGAGTACGCACGCTACACTGCTGCGCAGCGGGAGTAGTGGCCAGAAGTCGTACTTGGTGTGCAGAAAAAAAAATTGATGTTGCAGACAGGAAACGGGAGCCCAATGAACACAATTTGTACTTACAGTCCTCTTCATTCATACGTCTGAAAGTTCGTAAGTAGATGAGCATCTGTATTAAGGATTCAATGGTTTTATTTGTCATATGTGATATGCAAGGTATACACTCACCTAAAGGATTATTAGGAACACCTGTTCAATTTCTCATTAATGCAATTATCTAATCAACCAATCACATGGCAGTTGCTTCAATGCATTTGGGGGGTAGTCCTGGTCAAGACAATCTCCTGAACTCCAAACTGAATGTCAGAATGGGAAAGAAAGGTGATTTAAGCAATTTTGAGCGTGGCATGGTTGTTGGTGCCAGACGGGCCGGTCTGAGTATTTCACAATCTGCTCAGTTACTGGGATTTTCACGCACAACCATTTCTAGGGTTTACAAAGAATGGTGTGCAAAGGGAAAAACATCCAGTATGCGGCAGTCCTGTGGGCAAAAATGCCTTGTTGATGCTAGAGGTCAGAGGAGAATGGGCCGACTGATTCAAGCTGATAGAAGTGCAACTTTGACTGAAATAACCACTCGTTACAACCGAGGTATGCAGCAAAGCATTTGTGAAGCCACAACACGCACAACCTTGAGGCGGATGGGCTACAACAGCAGAAGACCCCACCGGGTACTACTCATCTCCACTACAAATAGGAAAAAGAGGCTACAATTTGCACGAGCTCACCAAAATTGGACAGTTGAAGACTGGAAAAATGTTGCCTGGTCTGATGAGTCTCGATTTCTGTTGAGACATTCAAATGGTAGAGTCAGAATTTGGCATAAACAGAATGAGAACATGGATCCATCATGCCCTGTTACCACTGTGCAGGCTGGTGGTGGTGGTGTAATGGTGTGGGGGATGTTTTCTTGGCACACTTTAGGCCCCTTAGTGCCAATTGGGCATCGTTTAAATGCCACGGCCTACCTGAGCATTGTTTCTGACCATGTCCATCCCTTTATGACCACCATGTACCCATCCTCTGATGGCTACTTCCAGCAGGATAATGCACCATGTCACAAAGCTCGAATCATTTCAAATTGGTTTCTTGAACATAACAATGAGTTCACTGTACTAAAATGGCCCCCACAGTCACCAGATCTCAGGCTGATGTATTTCAAGATGGCGCCGAGGATGGTAGCCTCAGTGCTCAGCTCTCAAGTGCTTGTTTTGTTTTTGTTAGTTTTTCCTGTTTTTTGTTTCTCAAACACCATCAGTTTTACCAGAAATGAACTGCTGATCATTCGGCAGAACACTCCACAAAATCTTTTACCAGATTTTGAGTATTCGGACGTTTTGCTGAACATTGTAGTTAGCGGAGCCGCGGCACTGTGGAAGCGCTTCAGGACGCGCAGACGGGGGAAGCGAGCCGGCGCGCTCGTGAAACTCAGACAACGCGGATTTCGAACGCCGTTGCCTAGCATCCATCTGGCGAATCTCCGTTCTCTTTCCAACAAAACGGATGAACTTCTTCTGCTTACCCGGATCAACAGGGATTTTTCAAACTCTGCTGCTCTGTGTTTCACGGAAACCTGGCTGAATGACGCCATTCCAGACAGCGCGTTAAGTCTGCCGGGCTTTCAGCTGTTTAGAGCGGATCGCGACGCAGAATCAACGGGGAAATCTCGCGGCGGCGGTACGTGTTTCTACATCAACGAAAGGTGGTGTACAGATGTATCTGTGTTAATGAAGATGTGCTGTTCCGATCTAGAAGCACTCATCATTAACTGTAAGCCTTTCTACTCGCCGCGGGAGTTTTGCTCGTTTATTCTCGTGAATGTGTATATTCCTCCGCAAGCGCACGTGAGCACAGCCTTACAGAAACTCGCTGATCTCATTACAGAGACTGAGCGACAACACCCGGACTCTGTTTTAATCATTCTCGGGGATTTTAATAAAGCAAATCTCACACGTGAACTGCCAAAATACAGACAACATGTTACATGTCCCACCAGAGACAGTAATATACTGGATCACTGTTACACAGCTATAAAGGATGCATATCACTCTGTCCAACGAGCAGCCGTGGGACTTTCTGATCACTGTTTGGTTCATCTCATACCGACCTACAGGCAGAAACTGAAATCAGCTAAACCTGTATTAAGGACTGTAAAATTTTGGACTGATGAAGCAGAGCGGAATTTACAAGCCTGCTTCTCTCTCACTGATTGGTCTGTTTTTGAAGCTGCTGCCAACGATCTGGATGAACTCACGGAGACCGTAACATCATATATCAGTTTCTGTGAGGATATGTGCATTCCTACCAGGACCCGTTTAATCT